GGGGGGGGGGGGGGTCAATTAAAGTTCAACCTTTAAAAGGCTACAGGATTGCACATCCTGTGGTAGTTTCAGGATAATTTTGCATGCAGTGATATTACAATCACTGAATTGATTCCAATAGAACATCAGAAGCTCAGGCCAGAGTAATGGGTATCTGGCACTTAAAGGGGGAATTAAATGGGTTTGACTAGAGATGAATCAGGAAGGTTTTCTCTTGGGGTTTATACAGTCATACTGCTGCGTTTCATTGAAGGCCCTTTGGCCAAGTGGTAAGGTGTTCTCCTCCGGCGCACTAGCGTTCGCAGAGAAAGATCGCAGGTTCAATCCCTGCATGGGTCGGCTCTTCCATTTTTCCTTCATTACACGGCGTTGCCTTTCTTGCGGGCGGTCGGCAAGTTACTTTTGCTTGTTTTATTAGTCCACGGTGTGAGCTTTCATAGCTGAATGACGAATTGTGTGAGCTATTAGAAGAATTGTTCAGATCACGAAAATCCGCCCACATTCATTCACAGGTGAAAAATGGCTTGAGATGAAGCAGATGCAGGACACAAAAAGAAGTTATATGAAGATATAAATATGGAGTAAGCCAGGCTGAAGATTCATAAGAATAACAAACGCCCTGAATCGGTGATCTAGGATGGCAGGCGACTTGGTGGGAGTTTAATAAGACGGAGTGGGCTTTGGGGGATTATCATGGTCTAAGCGACTGGCCAAGTCGGCGAGACCTCCTTTTCACTAGTTCAATAAGACCGGGTGGAGAAGATAACGTAGTGTGCCGTTGGCTCCCTTCCAGGGCACAAGGGACAGACCGGATGGGGTAGAGCTTGGTGGTGCATGACTGGCTGGAAAAAGAAGCTTGATGGAGCTTCAACGCGGAATACCGACCCGTGAGTTGGTCCTATTGCCGACAGACTTAGCTTGCCGGATGTCTGCATGGTGCACCCGGTGTGCTTCCTTTTGCGGACGGCTCCAAGGAATTCACGCGTCGGCACAACCCTGAGCCTACCCAAGGACCAGGTCATATCACAACTATTACGATACTGCTTCGGACCACCTCTCGAGTTTGCAAAAGGAAATGACCACACAAGAAACAACGGGACAGGACCTGGCTCAAAGACAAAAGCATCCGCTTCTCATCGCTGAAATGAGCTCACAAAATTCGGATTTGAGTTACTCCAGTTATTATCATTTTTGTTTATTGTTTCTTTTGGCTTGATTTGTGAAAGCCTAGGACAGTGATCAAGCGAGTTAGCGATGACCATCTCTGAATCAACGCCAGGTTCATGGCAGTCGACAGGTCGGAGGAGAACGGATTTTCCGCCAAGTAATCCGCCGGGCGAGCGGCGCAACCTGGAAGGACTGGTCGGCAGTCTTACTGAGCAAGCGGCCAATCAATATTATCGGATACAAAATCTCTTTCGATCTGCAGAAGAGCAGGATGAAGAAACACAAGAGATGATCCGAGATTCAGCTCAAGCTCAAACCGAAGAGCGTGGTCCCACCTCCCCATCAACCCAAGCCGCTAAGCGCTTATTCAGAGCCCCGTCACATTCTGACCCGTTAAAATCGAGGCTCCAGGCAATAGAAGAAACCGTCGAGAGGATCGTAAGTGGATTGAAACCATTCCATTCAGTTTGCTTTTGAAAAGGTCACGCATTTTGACCACATGTTTTGTTTCACTTTCCCGCCGATAGGAGTTGCTTCTCCAGGACCACTCTGTAAGAGGTCTTCAGTTCTTGCTTCCAAACTCTCTCTGCCCATCTTGAGGATTCGGCCGCATAAGAGACAGTGATTTGTGCCATTCAAGACCCCCAATCGAGACGACAAATTTAGCTAAGTTTCTATTTTTTTTCTTTCTAGCATCGGCTGGCAAAGCTAGAAGGGATGCATCCACCAGCTTCAGAAGGTATTCGGTTCCGGGCCCCAGATACCCCCCTTAGCAATTATCCGGAGAGTCTTGGAATTCATTCAGAGGTCAGTGGACGTTGCCACTCTTTCTGGATTTTTTTTCTCTTTCTTTTCATCTTAATGCTGACATGGGAAGTTTGCAGAATTTCCAGGGTTTCTCAATTCTCGATCCTAATTTCGTACGTACTTAACATCATTCCGACCTAGCAGAAAACCTAAATTCAGGAAATACTGATTCATATGTTCATGTACCTCAACCAACGAGGGGATCCAATGGGCCATTCGTTCCTATCAAAACACACACAAAAAAAACAGGTGCAATCTTTATCGAACCGATTAGAGGTCATGGAAGCACGGTATGCAAACAAAGAAAAGAACAAATCCAAAGCGAAACCGAAGATAAACAAACTAGCCAGGTTCATGGGGCGGGATGATCAAGAAGGTTCTAACAAACGTCCCAGAACTTAAGATCTGGATCTTCTTCCTCACTGCTCCATTACAATTTAGTGAGCATATTTTCAGCTCTTACTTCAATTCACCTTTTATAAAGTTCCCAACCATTTTGAGACATGTACGTGTGTGGCTTAATAGATTTTCAAAGCTCAACCCCTAATCGGAAGACAAAATTAAAACTCATAGTATCCCTGCAGGAATTTCACAAGTTATTCAACAAGAAAACCATGTCATCAGCTTGTAACAAGGGATTGTGCCCTGTTGTAAAGTGTAGAACTCAATCATCCAGACATTTATTGATCACATGACAGGCAAACCCCTATACTTCTTGAAATCAGACCTCGACACTGCCTGAACATTCAACATGTGTGAGATTCTCTTCATCTATAAGAGCTAAGCCTCCATTCATCAAAGAAGAGTGAAATGTAAGTAAAAGTTCTGGGAATCATATATACCAATTCATATATTGAATAGGTTAAGTATAACTCAGATTAAATCTAAAAATCTTGACTGATTCAGTTTTTCTAAGAGCTTCTTATCCCAGTCCTTTTTTTTTGCTACAATCAGAAGGATTGAGAGATATGATATATAATCAGTTGTTGGGAGTGGGAATGAATGGTGAATTTTGCTCTATCCAAATATTTAAACTTGATGAAATGATGATGCACAAGATGTGATATAAACAAAGCAATGGATTTTAATTGTATTAGGTAGGATCATTTTTATAGACATCATTCCTCTCCTTTTGGATGGGGGTAAGAAAACCACAAAAGTTCAGCTGTTGATCATTGTATTACAACCTGGATCCCAACTCAACAAATAATCCAATTTAACTTATGGTAGATATTCATAATCATTAGGAAGAGAGGTTGAATTTTATGTTTATTGAGGATCAAGAAAGGTTAGTCAAAGATCAGCCAAGCTTAAAAGAACCTTATCCTTATTTTGGAAGGGTTTGGTGTCCCCACTAGATAAGACTGGCAATAGAGGCACAAGAGCAACACTCTGGAACATGTGTGTTCAAAACAGATTGTTGTCTTTATTCAGTGGCCTGAGCCTGATGTGTGCTATGCATACTACATACAAGAGTGGCTATGCTGTGTGTTACTCATACAAAAGCACATTTTCAATACTCAACAAAAAGGGTTTGACCAGAGAGAATAAGAGTGACATGGTTAAAGAACTTGAAGGAAGGTCACTGGCCATTAACTTTTAAAAAGAAAAAAAAAAACAGTCCATTTTCTTTGGGGGAAAATCAGAGGTGAATAGACACCTCAGCCTTGAAAAGGGTGCTCTTTTTTTTCCCGCCACATCCCTCCCCAATACTAACATGCATCTTATTGTGTATTATATTTCCAAAACAAGCATGAAAATTAAGAATGAATCATTTCCACCTCAAAAATGAGATAGTGTCCTTAATTATTGTTTATGATACACCTTGTAGGTGTAGAGAATTTAGTAAGATCCACGGAACATCTTTCATCAGGAAAATGTATGGGGAATACATGCCAGGTGAAGTTCAGAAAACTGTAGGTTCTCATTTATTCTCAACATGCCAGGTAACACCAAATCCTTTTTAACTACATAAAGTATTTATATGTACATACTCAGACTGAGCTGGATTTCAGCCCTCAAGCTGTGTATGCTTGGCATCTGATCATTCCTTCATAGTTTGTTTCACATTCTTCCAAGATAATCCTTTGAATTACATGGATACAGATTGCTACAGATGATTGATGAACTCATACTAATGGAACCAAGGCAAATCCAGACAAAGTGTATTCTTCTCCTTGTAAATTTTTGAAACTCTCATGATTAGATTGTGTTGGAATTTCTTCTCTTTCCTACTCATCCCTGAATCCTTCTTTTTTATCTTTGCTATATACATTATAT